CAACTGGGATGCTGCAGATTGGTAATAAGCCACTTGGGGTGAAAGATTCATGTTTATTGATCCCTATTTTTGGAGGTATTAAATGGATTCATTTCTCAATTTTTTAGTTATTTTGGTGTAGGTTTGGCTTTGGCTACATCTATTATTGGAGCTTCTTGGGGTATTTTTGTCACTGGTGTTACATTATTGGGTTCAACAGTCAAAGCACCACGTATTAGATCTAAGAATTTGATTTCTGTCATTTTTTGTGAAGCTGTAGCTATTTATGGTGTCATTATGGCTATTATTATGATTGGAAAAGTTCAAACTATTGAAAGTTATCCAGATGGTCAAGAAGATGAGTGTTATACAACTGCTCTTTTTAATGGTTATTCTTTATTTTGGACAGGAGTTTCTGTAGGATTATCAAACTTAATTTGTGGGTAAACTTAATAAATGATATATTTTATAGTATTGCAGTTGGTGTTACTGGATCTGGTTGTGCAATTTCTGATGCTTAAACTCCAGAAACTTTTGTTAAAATTCTTGTTGTTGAAATCTTTGGATCAGCCTTAGGATTATTTGGAGTTATTGTTGGAATCATCCAGTGTTCAGGAGCAACTTTTCTTAAGAACTGTACCTCTTGAAATTACATATTAAAATAGCATATATAATATATATATTATTCTATGTTTTAACTTTGATTATTTGAATTTTAATTAAATAATTCAATTAATTATTAATATGAATAACTTAAATAATAATATTAACAATAATAATGAAAAGATAAAAGATAGTATATTTAATTACTATCAAGACTCTTTTTTCAATCAAACTATCAATATCATAAGAAAGAATTAAAAAGTTGAGAAAAAAATTCAAATTACTATATGTGGCACTCCTTTATTTAATTGATTTTTATATTTAAATGTTTATTTAATTGTATCAAAATTAAGATTACATATTAATCATTAAATATATGATTAATTTTAATATTTTTGGTTATTTAATTAATTCATATCAATTATATTGAAAATAAATAAATTAGATTTATTTCTTTAAATGTTATCTTTATTTATTAAATATCTATATAATTAATTCATATATGTATCATTAATTTATCCTATTTTAAATAATAGAATCTATAATATCCGATGAAAATAAATTAGCTATATCAGTCAATTTCAAAAAATTATCTAATAGAGTAATTATAAATATATTAAATTCTTGAATTTACTTTAATGTTATGAAATATATTCATATTTAATTCAAAATCAATTATATAAAATTATTTCAAAAAAGCATCTTATAGGAATAGTAATTCTATTAGTATAAATTAAAATGTTTTATTAATATTTTATTTTTCATTTAAAAATACTTCTTTAAATGTTAATTATAATAATTATTAGATTCAAAATAATATATTATTATTATCTTAGTTTCTAATTTATAGAATTATTTAATAGAAAAATAATTTTTATTATTTTTTGAATCATTTGATTTATTAATTTTTATAATTCATATAATAATAAATACTATCATCAGAATCTATTTTTATTTGATTTAGATATTAATATAAGTTTGTGATTTGAGTATAATCATCTAAGATTATATTAAATATCTAATATTATATATTAAGTTATAACAGTTTGAATTATTATTTTGAAATAAATTTAAGAAAACAGAAAATATATATTATGAAACAAAAATATTTTATTTTTAATGATTAAACTTTTCTATATAGATAATGATATTATATTATCTTATTTTTAAATCATTTTATTTTCTAATATTTTATGAAACCTTTTATAATATAAAGTTTAGATCTTGTTTAAAGTCTAAAGAACAAAAATAGATATTTAACATTGATCTTTTAAGTTATTAATAAAAGTAGAGTTTTTTGAAATGATAGTCCATTTCTAACAAGTGTAAGAATAATAATAATAATGAGTATGAATTATATAAATTTAAAATGTTAATTTTCTTATAATTTCTGTGGAATACATGTTAAGTACTAATAATGAATAGGTTTGCGATTCAGATTTGATCATATTAATTATAATTGTATAATATATTTTTATGGCATTTAAAGTTGATTGAGTGTAATGAATTCTGATTTAATAAAAATATTAAATAAATCATCACACATGGCATTCCAATAAGACTATGACTATTTGTTCAAGATCCTTCTGATAGGTAATTCAGCTGTTGGCAAGGTAAGACCTTAAATATAATTGATTAGAGCTCACTATTGTTGCGATTTTCCGATTAGATTTTTAGTGAGTCTTTCCTTCCTACAATTGGTGTAGATTTCAAAATTCGTACTTTTGATATGCAAGGAAAATCAGTAAAGATGTAAATTTGGGACACTGCTGGTCAAGAAAGATTCAAAACTATTACAGCATCCTATTATAAGGGAGCACATGGAATTATTCTGACATATGATATTACAGATAAATAAAGTTTTAAGGACATTGAGAATTGGTTGGCAGGTAAACTTTATATTTAAAATTAAAAGAGGTTGAAAAACATGCTTCAGAGAATGTGGTTAGATTATTGGTTGGAAATAAGGCTGATTTAGAAAGCAAGAGATAAGTTACCTTTGAAGAAGGTAAAGAGTTGGCTGATAGTTTGGGCATCAAGTTTATAGAGGCTTCAGCCAAAGCAAACACTAATGTTGACTAAGCCTTTATGACATTGGCTAATAATATCAAGGCTAAGATTGGCAAATCTGAGGACAAACCAACTCCAGGAGGAAAGACCCCAACTGGTGGTTTGAAGAATCCATAACCTACAAAAAAGGAAGGAGGCTGCTGTTGAAATTAAGATAAATTATTAAATAATGGGATTTAAAGAAGCATTCACGAGATAAGGCGATGGAGAGAATCTACTCTTCGATGATGATGCATTCATCTATTTCGCCATTTCTATTCTTACTTTAGTTATTCTTCCTTTGGTTTACTCAGTTATCAAGCCATTGTTCACAACATACGTGTTTGGAGAAAACAGAAGAAAATTCGCACGTGTTCCCTAAAGCTCCAATGATCAATAAAATCTACAATTAGCTAAATAAGAATTAAGACTTAAATGGCTTACAACAGGTTATGTGGTTAAGGTAAAATAATGATTCATATCTAAGATCATAATACTTGTGGCTCTTTTATTATTGCTTAATGCATCAATTTAATCATTACCAAAGGCTGATAAAATTAAAGGGTTTGATCCTTATGAGATTTTAGAAATAGATCCAAGTGCAACAGAATAAGAAATTCGTAAAGCATATAGAAAGATTTCATTAAAATTGCATCCAGACAAAAATCCTGATGATCCTTAAGCAAATCAAAAATTTATACTATTGACTAAAGCTTATGAATGTTTAACAGATGAAGATAAAAAATCATTATGTATGAAATATGGAAATCCAGATGGACAATAAAGTTTATCTGTTGGAATAGCTATGCCATCATTTCTATTAAAAAAAGAAAATAGAGCTGCTTTCTTAGCAGTAATATTTTTATTACTTTTGGTTGTTGTACCTATAATTGTTTTGTATGAATTAAGATCAATAGGAAAATATGATTAAAATGGAATAATGCTTAGTAATTAAGAAAAATTTGAAAGAGGATTAGAAGAAAACTTATTAATAAAGAAAGGAGTAGAATTATCTAGTTGTAGTGATGAATTATGTAGAATAAGATTGAAAACTGAATAATAAGCTATAGATTTAGAAAAATTAGTTAATGAATTAAAAGAAGAAGCAGAATTAAGAAAGATATAAAAATTTGAAATAACAGAAGCACTTGAATAATCAAAAAAATAAAAGAAGAAAAAACGAGTAACTATTTCTATTGCCATGATTTTAATATATGCTCATTTATTTGGTAAACCAATTCCTAATAGTGTTAAATCTTTATATAGATCTACAATTAAGATAATTCCAAAATTAGTAAATTCAATGGTAAGATTAGCATTTGAATTTTCAATGAAATATAAAGTAATGTAATGGAGATAAAGAGGAAGATTTTAAACTAAATTTATGGGTGCCAGATGTATTAATAACATTTTATAATTCTCTCAATGCATTGTATAAGGAATATATGAAACAGATAATCCAATAAATTAAATTGATTTTTTTGCTACTAAAGCTAAAGATTATATTAAAAAAGGGAAAATGCCAATATTTCAAGAATTAGTTCAAAAATAAATTGATTAAAGAGTGGTAATATATTTATATTAATAAATTCATAGTTACCTAATTGGGTACCAGAAGAATTCAAAGAATAAATTATGAATGAAATTAATATGTTTCCTTAATTAGATATTAAACATGAAGTAACTGTTGATGATGAATCAATTGTTGAATAATGTAATGAAGATATATTTAGTGTATTTATTATTTTAATATATAGATTAAAATCACATTAACAAGATTGAATACTCCTGAAGGTGAAGATATTCCATTTGCACATTCAAATAGATTTACATATGTTAAGGAGGAGGGATGGCATGTTTTAATTACTTATTAAAATGAAGTGTTTTATTATGCTTAATTAAATGGAGCCAATAGAGTATAAACAACAGAATTTAAATTTTAACCTAAAATGTATTTTGGTGATGTAGTAGAATTTGAATTCATTTTATTTGTCATTTCTGATTGTTACAGAGGATTAGATGCTGAAATACCAATTAAATTTAAAGCTAAAAAAGCTAATTAAATAAGCAGAGTATATTGATATAATATATTTTATTAAGGCAGTTGAATATCATAAAGAAGATTAAGAATTAGATAAATCACTTCCATTTATTCAATCTATGTTATTTCCAATGTAAAATAAGGTTGAAGACAGTGATTCAGAAGATGAAGATTAATCAAAGAAAGATGATGAATGAAATAAAATAATCTAATATTATACACATAATGTAATTTTTTGTAAGTATTATTATTAAATGTTATCCAAAACAATAGTAGTAAAAAGTAGTAAAAAAAATTTAATGACTTCTTAATTAGTTTAATATTAAAAATGAGTGCTTACAAAAGCTGTCCTTCTTGGTAAGATTTAGCTTATAATTGAGTTTGGAATAAGTTTTGTCAACTAATTTTTTGCTCCATTCACTTTATTGTGAAAGAAACATAGTCCAATGTGAATTATGTGATCAACGCATAGATCTAAATGAAAAAGATGACCATATGATATTACATTAAAAAGTATATATATAAACTATATTATGTCTTAGAAAGCATGTCCATATTGTCAAGAAAACTATGAATAAAATATTTTAGAGAAGCATTAGAATAATTGTCCAAATAAGCCATTATTGTGCGTCTATTGTGATTTGATGATAAATCAATTAGATATGGTGTAACATCAAGTCAAATGTGGTTCTAGAACTGAATAATGTACTCTTTGTAAAAAGCACATTTAAAAGAAAGGTATAAATAATTAGAGGCTTTTAGAATTTGATATTCATTTATCTATTTGTTAATTATCATCTCCACCTTCCCCTAAAAGAACAAGACTTTAATAAATACTTTGTGATAGTTCAGATGATCATTCAGTTTAAGAAATCAAATAGAATCCTTAAAATAAGCGTCTTCCTAAGAAAGAGCCTAAAAGTTATGCTCTCAAATAAAAAAAAGAACAGAAAGATTAAAAGACACAAATCTACAAACCTTTTTTAGATGATGATGAAGATGAAGAGCTTCAAAAGGCATTATAGTAAAGTTTGAATTAAAAATGAATTAATAAAGTTTGTGCATAAGATTTAAAGCATTTCATCAACATAGGCATCTCTCTCATCCAATCTATCATACACCAAAACCTAAATTACAACGAAGTTTCAGTTTACCTAAATTCTTTGTCTTTCATCCTATGAAGCAATTCCATAGTATCCCTCAAAAAATGAGAAGAAAAAGTTGTGATTGTAAAGAATGTGGGCCAATGACTAACTTTTAATATAGAAATATGAATGTCCCATTCATTCTTAAACCCTCTAGAATCAGAAGATAACCATCTCTAAAAACTAATCGATTATTGACTGCATAAAATACAAGTATAAACATGTACTTATTTTATCAATAGAAAAACTATTTCGCAAATTCTCTGCTTCCAAATAAGATACTTTGATTTGTACATCCTCTTCTCAATTAATGCTTACCTCTCTCCGTAGAGCTTCAGCAAGAACCACTGAAAAACTTATTGAAGATACCCAAGTTCGCATATTTGAACCTCCTAAATCTTGTAAAAGTCATTTATTATAAAATACTAACAAACCAGAAATAACAAAGATAACTTTATAAATTCCAAAATCATAACGAATTATCAAAACTCAACCTTCAGAGCACTCTAAAATTAAACTACCTCAAACTCTTAAAAGCATGAAGCAAATTTACACCAGAAACTTTCTTTGTACATACTTGACTAAATATAAGAAATCTAAAACATAAATCAATTTATCAAAGTTTTGAATCTTAATAAAATAATTGTTAAATTAAAATTAAATACAATCAATAAAATTCTAGACTCCTATCATTATATTAATCTCTTTAATTTACTCTAGTCTATAAATAAGAAAACTCAATTAAGTGTGCTGAAAATTGAAATTTTCATATCATTTATTTCTGATTTTATGTACCAAAATAATGTTTCATTAATGCTTAGCTATATGAACCTCAAAAAAAAGAAGAACTATTCATGAATAATTAATAATAATGCTTTGAATAAATTACAATACATTCCCCTTAAAATTATTTAATTTATTAAAATTTATACTGCTTTGTTTTTATTGGATAAATATAAAATTTGCAATAGTTCTGATTAAAAATATCTATAGAATCAAGTATAATGATTGTGTTACTTAATCATAGACATTTAATTATCTCAAGGAAACTCTAAAGACATTTAATTCAAAATCCTATTTTTCAAAAACGAATTATATTAAGATTATTATTTTATCAATATAGTTATTGAATTTTCATTTCCTCACAAATTTATCTTGATGCTAATTTTATTAACTTAAATATTATAATTTTAATAACAGCAATTACAAAATAAGAAATATAATTAGTATCTCTGATAGACTCTAAAGTTTTGCATAGATTTGAATAACTAAAATTGAATAGCTATTCATTCAGTTGTCAATTAGATGCATTTCAATTTGTTTTATTAGATATGGTTTTAATGATTGTAATCACATTTTAGTATATATATGAAATCATTTGAAAATACAAAATGTTTAATCTTAAATTTCTAATTTAAAAATTTTTCATCACAGTTTTCATGTCTCAAATTTCATAAAGCACTTAGAAAATTTGAAGAGGTGAAGTGATAACAATTTAAAGATATAATAATTAATGAAAAATAATAATTAATACATGATGTGCAAATGACAGAATAATTAATTTTAATAAAAAGTAAAAAAGATCAAAAACGCATAGTTTTGTGTAATTTTAAGCCAAATAAGGGTGGTGAAGAAAGCATTAATAATAATAATGAAAGCTATATTCATCTTAGGATTAGTGATCTTCACACAAGCCGTCTTTGTCAAGCATGCTTCTGAACCACATGCTGCAGTCTTCGCTTAACTTGAAGCACTTGAAGACCATCCATTGGGAAAGAAAATTTTGGACACAATCGCTTTGTAAATGAAGAACAAATCACCACTCTCTGACATTGCTAAAATGCTCTAAGATTTGAGAGAAAACTTAGTCCTCTAATAATAAGATGCTGAATTAGTCCACGTCGCTTAAGAAGCTGACTGTGAAGCTGAAATCTATGGATATAACAGAAGAATTGACTTCGCTTCCAACGAAATCACTGAAGCCACCATTGATATCAACAAGTACACTGCTGATATTGAACTTTTGGAAACAGATATTGCCAACAAAGAATAATAATTATTAATCTTAGCTAACTAAGAAGAATAACTCAGATAAAAGAGAGCTGAAGATCATGCTTCATTCGAAGAAAGATAAATCACAACCCCAAAGGTCGTTGAAGCCCTCGACGTCATTGCCGCTAAATTGAGTGCTATCTAACCAGAAGCCGATGCTGAAGCAGTCCTTGCTGAATTAGAAAGAGTTGGTGGAAACAACCCCATTCTTGCCCTCGTTCAATTGGCCTCAACATTCTCAGCTGAAAAATTATAAAATGTCTAAGACAAGATCGCTGAATTGAGAGCTTCATTGGAATAATCCATCATTGATGACTAAGAAGAAGAAGTCTAATAATAACTTAACTTCGAAGCTTAAATCGTTGAAATCAATGAATAAAGAGCTGCCCTCTAATCTGAAAAGGCTGATTCCGAAACCAAATTAGGATAAGCTTAAGTCTAATTAGCTGCTGCTAAGAAGAGAAAGTATGATGCTGGAAGAGAACTCGACTCAGCCACCAAAGGAAAGGTTGCCAAAGAAGCTGAATGTGAAGCATGGAGAACTTAATATGCTAGAGACACCGAATAAAGAACCGTTGAAATCGGTATCATCAGATAAGTCGAATAAATCCTCGCCACCAAGTTGGAAGGTGCCTCCTCATACATCAAAGGAAGAATTAACTGAACTAAATGATTATAATACCTTTAGTCACATTTCTTTAGTTTTTATTATCTTTTTAAATTATGTATCAATACCTAAAATATTATTCTAATATTGAAATGTTGATCATGCTTGAGTTATTTAAATTTCTGATCTTGTTAATAAGACATAAAAGAATTTAATTAATAATATATTTTAACTATTAACTATTTCACTCCAATTAAGAAATTTTTAAATCAATCAATCATATGTACAATTAAAATTCCTTGATCTTTTTAATGTGATTATATATATATAATGATTAAAATCAAAGTTACAATCAATATTTTTTTACTGGAAAAAGTGAGCTACCTTACTAATTGATTTCTTTATTACAATTAATACCTAATTCCACTTATTATATTAACTGAATTTTGCTTAATCTCTTTTGAATCAAACTAAAATGATTCAAAATAATCCTTCATCATCATATGTTAGAGAATAATATACTTTGTCAAATGTTAAAAAAAAAACAAAAATAAGGTATCACATCTTGATTATATTCATTCTCTAAATTGTACTTTTTTTTAAAGTTTTTCTTTACAATTTATAGAACTACACGATGATTCAGGATTTTGATCATAAGTTCTTGCACTTAGTATTCCTTTCATACCTTCTTACTAAAATTTAATTTCTTCTTCTGCCACTATTTTTGGTTCTAAGTATATAATAACATGTTATTAGCGAGGAGATATTGGACGAGATGTTAATAAAATGTCTCCATCTTAATATGTGTAAAATTGACAATGATCTTATATCAATTCTTTAAAGTTAGCTATTTACAATGAGTCTCCCAATGATTTTGTAATGCTTTCTTATTAATTTGAAGAGACTATCTCTTCTTCAGTTTATGTTGTTGGAATGGATAGAGAACAACAATTATTACCCATAATATATAATAATAATAATGTTATCTTAAATCTACTCCTAATTCATCTGAATTATTAATTATGTAACTTAAAGGATTTAAGAAATATATATATTTATAATATAACATTCATATTCAATTCTATAATCATAGCTACTATAGAAATATGTTTCAATTTATTTATTATTTTATATGGTTATTAATTTTAGATATTTTATTCAAGCTTTAAATATATATTAATGTAAAAAAACTCTTTAATGTTTTTCAATATTAAAAACTTTGCTTTATACAATAAATTAATCCGTATATCATTTAAAGAACTATTATCTTTTTTTTTATTCTTACTAAAAATGACAGTTATTAAATTATATTCAAGTCAATATTAGATTGGGTAGATGATTAAAATCTCATAAACTTAAATGTCTCAGTACTTTACATTTACATTGTTTATTTTAAAAAAATCGATTATTTGAATTTTAATAAAGTCTATTATCTCAAGTTGTCTGATTTTTTCAATTTTTCTATTATTATATATATCCTATTAAGCATTCCTTTATGATTAAATTAATCATATTAAGCAATCATTCATCTTGTTCTGACCCAATTTTGTCATTCGAAATAATCTTTTAAGAAGTTCTATAGGTTTATTAGTTATTAATTGTTAAAATAGAAAAGTTTATTTTTTTTAATTATTAGAAGTGTTGTTGCTTACTTCAAAAATCTATAATAAAAGTTCCAATAGAACCCAAAATTCAATTTCTTATATATAAAAGACTGAAACATATTAATCTATTCTAACTAAGTATAACCATTTAAAAAATTCAACTCATAGTAAATAAATCAACAGAATATATATTCAATTATATATTTGGACCTTAAATATTTAAGAAATATTTACTATTTATGACCATTTATTGTAGTGTTAATCTTAATATTTTCACTATTTCATTATTTGTCATGCGCATATTATCTTTTATGAAATTTCTTTGAAAATATCATGTAATTTAAGCCATTTAACTGAATAGATAATTGATTTTGTTGATTATCTGAAATTTATTACATTATTTAGATTAATTATATCTACTTATTCTCTATTTTCAGAATATATTTAATTAATTATCTAATCTACAGATTCATAAAGAAGATTAAGATTGACATACTTAAGAAGAACTATGATATAGATAAAGTGAGATTACTCTTGAATTTTATCAATATTTTGATGGTTGTTTAGTTTCTTTAAAACTTTTACTTCTTTCAATTTTTTACACTCTCTTAATTAATGAAATTTTTATTTCATTTTTTTTATAAAAAAGTATTTGATATTTACATAACAGCCCAAAAAATGCCATCACATATTATTTAAACTCTTTGAAATTAATAATAAAAATTTATACTTTCTTAATATCAGCAATAATTATATAATCTATATAATAAGACAGATTGAATAACAATTAAAATTATATAATCCTAATATGTTTCTTTTTATTGTTTTGTAAATCATAATTTTTAATAGTTTTTCAATTAAAAATATTCTTGAAATATTTCAAGTTTATAAGTTGGTTTGCTTTTTTTAATACTTTCATTTAACCACTCATATTTAAAAATAAAAAAATTTGTAGACAACTCAAAATTATCATATATTTAAGATTTGAATTATGATTGATGAGAATAGAATAAATGATTAATGAAATCAGTTTTAAATAATTAGTAAACGAGAAATTATATTTAATAAAGATATCTGTAATACCTAATTAATAATTATTGAATTAGTCCAATTTGAATAGTAATGTAATTTTTTGGATTAATTTTAATAAAAAATCTGATAAATCATTTTTCAGATTAATTGAAACCTTTATATTTATATAAAAATTTCAAATACTTATATAATCTTTTTTACTTATTGGTTTTAGATAAATATAAAGATCATATTGGTTGATTTTAAATAGGTGAGATAATCTAAACTTTTGTTAAATGGTCAACATTCAATAAGAATTTATAATCTCCATTATAACTTATTAATTTAATCATA